GGTCGTGGGTCCTCCACTGGGGCAGGCACGAGCTGGGCAGGGGGGTCTGGGTAGGGCCACTCCCTGGGACCGGCTTGGCCGTTCGTCGCCTCCTAGGACTCCCAGCGATGTCGCTAGACAGGCTCCCACCCAGCAGTGGTGGCAGGGACCTGCCACCTCCCACAGGGACCAGCTGAGACCAAAGTCCACAACTCCTGGGCCAGGACCAGAGGGCACCCAGCCTGGTTTTCCACAAGCTGCAGGGACATTGTCCCCAGGAAGCCCTGAGCTGTTCTCTAGTAACCAGGGGACAGAGCAGGGCCACTTCCAAGGTCTTCCATGTCCCAGGTCCTAAGACTCCAGAGGAGGGTGCAGAAACCTGACTGAAGACCACAGAGAGAGGCCAGGAGGACCCGGCCACACCTGAGCCAATCAGGAGGACCCTGCAGTGGGAGCCCAACATAAACCCCTGGAACAGAGCTCCTCACCCCACTGACACCCTTAGAGCTAGGCTGAGGAGGGGAGGCCCAGCCCCCAGGCCTGCTGTGCAGCCAGCTACCTGTAGGGAAAAGAGCTGCAGCTCCAGCCTTCTGCAGGGCTCTGGCTCCCTGCACCAGCCAGAGTGTGGTGTGTGTGTGTGTGTGTGTGTGTGTGTGTGTGTGCCCCAGAACCTGGTTAGCTGTGGCAGGAGGATCACCACAAGTTCCACACCAGCATGGCCAGCATGGGCTACACAGGGAATTCAAGACCATCCTGACCATGGTGAGACCCCCGTCTCAAAAACTAAATAAATAAAGCCTGTTCTCTTTACAAGGAAACTACCTTATTTACTTATTACATGTTCAGAAGACTAACAGGGTATTTCTGCTGTGTTTGTAGAAGAGAATAGTGGCACACAAAGACTAACTGGCAGCCCCTGTGGGCCAGGTAGCTTCCTCAAAGCCACACAGTGGTTTTTGTTGTTTTCAGTCAAGCCACCATTTTAAAATTGGGAGCTTTCATATGGAAGTTGGAATTCATGATATCTGTTCAAAATGAGGAATCTGATTTTTTTGGTGGTGGTGGTACTAAGGATTAAATGAGGAGTCTTCACCCTGAGACCATCCCCAGCTTCTCTACCTACCTACTTACCTACCTATTTATTAGATAGGTGTTATTTGTTTTGCTAGGTATTTACTGTTTGAGTGAAGGTCTCCTGAAATTGATAAGCTGCCAGGTTGGGCTCCAACTCAGGCTCTTCCTGCCTCAGCCCCCCAGAGTGCCGCCATACCCAGCTGGACCTGACCTTTTAACCCTCTGTTTCCCCAGTTGACTGGGGTCAATTTCCTTCCCCCTTAGATGTGAACTCTCCATTTAACCAGGGCAGTAGAAAGGCTCACTTCAACGCCTTTATCGCCTCCACCCCTGTTCTGTTTTTAGAAGAAACTGGTGTTTATTTCTGCTGTGTAAAGCAGTTCAGAGACAAGTAACCCAAGGCTGCAAGTCACTGGGCACTCGGGCTTCCCTCTTTTCACCCCAGCAGCCCAGTGTCTGGCTCTCAGGAGCCCCTCCAAGGACAGTTGGATAGCTGCAGCCCCATTCCAGGGGCAGCAAGAAGGGAGAGACGAGCTTTCCTATTGGCACATTCAACCAGGCATGAGAGGCACACCTCCTGCCAGCGCTGCACCCCTGCTCCTTCCCTCCTCCAGCTGCTGGGGCTGTTAAATTCCTTGACTCATGGCCACATCACTCCACTGACCCCTCTGTGGTTGCATGGCATCTGCTCTGCCCTCTGTCCATCGCCTTCTGCAAGTTTATCTCATTTCAAGATCCTCTTCTTTCTTTCGCACAATGTCTCTGCTAGGGTTTGGCCATCTGTTTCCTCCTAAGTCTGCATTGACTAGAATATCCCACAATGTCAGGAGGGCATGTTGGCTCTGCTCTCGGCAGGAGTAGGCTCCTATGTGAGGGCTTGAGAGGAACCTACATCCTGCTCTTGGCTGTGAGTATGCAACACTTGTCCCCCTGAAGGCTGTGGCCATGAGGCTCCATCCAGGCAGCAGAAAGCCTGCTGTCCTGGACCCCCAGCCCCGGATCTGAGGGACGGTTGTGTTCCTAGGTTTCCTAGCCTCCAGCATCTTCCTGTGGCAGCTCCAACCAGCCAGAGATGCTCATACTCAGGGTTCAGCGCCTTGGAAATGAACATAGTTTTGGGGCCACCATTTAGCTCACAATAGTGGCCCCAAGATATGTGACTTGAGGAGACCGTGATCATCTAGTCTGAGATCACTGTCCCTAACAAGTGTTCTGTCCCTGTCTTGTCCCACCTTTTTTGTGTTCATTTTGGGTTTTTTGAGACAGGGTCTCACTATATAGCCCAGGCAGGCTTTGAACTCACTGAATAGTGCAGGCTGGCCTCAGACTTTCCATCCTCCTGCTTCAGCCTCCTGGGTGCTAGAATTACAGGCCCCACACATTCCTGGCTTTTAATGAGAGTCAGGGCTTCAAGAGATTTTACTGGGCTGATGCACACTCTGTCTTTGTGGAACATATGTGTTCCACATCAGGTGAGAGTCTGACATGTTGGGACTCATTACCCGTTCATTGCTGCAGCTTATTCAGTAACAGTGTTATTTTTGATTAGCTTTCTTTGGCAGTTCTGGGGATTGAACTCTGGTTCTTATGTGTGCTGGGCAAGCCCTGTACCACGGAACCACACGCCTGGCCCCAGTTAGTTCATTGAAGAAGTCTTTTACGATTCCCCCACACAGGTCATGAATGTAAAGGGCACAGAGGCAATACATCGCTGTGGACTGTGCAGGAATAATCACAGGAGGGTGGAGCAGGAACGGCCACAGCACCTCACAAGAGATGACTCCAGGTGCTCCTAACACCAGGGCCTTGAAACCCAGAGAGCAGGATCTGTTTCTCCTCTGCTCAGAGAGTTTGCTCAGACTGTTTTTCTAGCTACTGGCACTGGGGAAGACAGAACATGACTACTGTGGGCAGCGTGCTCTGAGAGGACAGCCCAGTGACAACATCGACTTGGGAAATCTTTTTCCCTGGGTGGCAATAAGGGAGGCAGGTGCTGCACCACTGCCAATGTCAGTTTTGAGTCTTTATACCACCATTCCGTGTAGGTGGGGAGAGGAAAACAGACACACAGGCCTTCACTAGAAGAAATGTGGGGACTGTGGTTTGTGCACCCTGGTTATGTTTCCTTTGCTGGACTCATGGACTGCGCAGGAAAGCACTACACTGGCTGGGAGCTTTCTCAGGATGACGTCCACTAGGGGAGGGGGTCTTCCCTTGGAGTTGGAGCTGTAGCGGGACAGGGGGCACTTCTGGGAAAGCAGGGTTGCTGACACATTCCAGCAGAGATGCCCCTGCAAGGACCCTCAGCCCTGCCGCAGAGTCGGAGACCTGAGCGCATGGTGCGGCTGGGAACACGCTCACACACACGCACGCACACACACACACACGGAGAGTGTGGCCTGTGCCTCCAGGGCTGCTCAGAACCAGAAGTTGTTTTTCTTGGAAGTCCACTGAAATTTGCTTCTTCTAGGAAATGAGAAGGGAAGCTGACAAAATTAACGTAAGTCAGAAAAGAAGTGTAAAAGGCGCATGATGGCCCACTGCCCTGAGATGGCTGCTATTAATATTTCAAGCTTTCCAGACTGTGTGAAGTCGCAAGGCAGCTGTTTACGGGGTGCTCAGAGTCCTGACATGACCTTGAGAGCCGTGCCCAAGTTCAGTGAGCCTGCACCAGCCCTCAGAGTGTGGGAGGCCCTGTGACTCTCACTGTCATCCTACAGGTGGGCTGGAACCTCCTGGATTGCAGTCGGGACCCTCACTGTTTCTCTGGCCTCAGTATTTTTGGTGTTGATTTTTATTGTTTTTATTTATGTCTGTTGCTGTTGTTACATAAGATGGAGCCCTCCACATTTTAATTTTTGAAGTGTGTTCTGTTTTGCTCTATAATTATGGTAGGCAAGTTCTAGCAGCCCTGCCCCCAAATTCTTGCATGATCCCCTACAAGACACAGTGCCTTCTGGTTCCTCAAACTCTGTTGCAGGGGCTGCCAGGAGCAGAATTTGCAGACATGATTTGAATTCCCACGTTTCTGGACCTTCAGGGAGGAAGTGGATGGAGGCCGAGCCCAGCCGGCTGAGCACTTCCCGGGTTCAAGGGTTCAAAGCTGCGGGCATTCACCATGGTGGGCCATGTGGTGAGGACCTGGCACACCTGGGGCTGAGCAGTGGCGAGGAAATGGGCAGGCCATGGGGTCTACACGCTGCCACGCCTGTGTGTTCAGCCTCAAGAAACCACAGCGCTCTGGCCACATTATCCACCTGGCCAATGCACAGCCCTGGCTTTTGGGCCCAGAGCAGAGGAACAGATGCAGCCTGCAGGACTGTGATCAACAGAACAGGGCAATTGGTTACACAGCAATAGCAAATAAATAGTCCCTCGGGAACACCTTCTCTTGCAGCCCTGCAGCACAGTGGAGCAGCTGCAGAGGACCCCAGGTCTGCACACCATGATCTTTTATCGATGCCGTCTTGTGACTGCTGTTTCCAATTGTCTCACTCTTCAGCAGCAGTGTAATGAACACTGTGCAGCTCAGTCCCTGCGCTGCTCCTACAGTGGAACTGCACAGACTGAGAGAAGATGCTTCACGTGCAGAGATGAACCACCCTCCAGAAAGGTTGGCAGGACTGAGCACCCTTCCATGAGCACTGTTGCCTCCCAAACATGACCAGCATGACACAGTTCACGTCAAGTGACCAAACTTGAACCCCTTTGAAGTTTAAAATTACTGGTGTAGCTAGGCGTGGTGGCACTTGCCTATAACCCTAGCACTCAGAGGCTGAGTCAGGAGGATTGCTATGAGTTTGAGGCTAGCCTGGGCTACATAGCAAGTCCCTTTATCCAAATAAATAAATAAACAAACAAACAAACAAATAAAATTACTGGTGTACTTTGTTTCATAAAAGCACATATACCATTTTCTTTTCTGTTTGTGTATGCACATGCATGTACAGTACTCCTTGAATTGGCCAAGACTTTTTCAATTACAAGTCATTATCAGATCTGCTCACTCAAAAAGAGAATTTAGGAACTCATGATGAAGCACCCTGGAGAGAATGACTTAAGGCTGTCTAGAATCCAGACTGGTAAGCTATCTTTTTGTTTTGTTTTGTAGACCTTTGCCATAGCTCTCCGAAGAGAAGAGAGGTGTGTTTCCAGTCACTGTAGGGAGGTTTGTTTCACAAAATGACCCGACAACTCCAGGCTTGTCTTTATAACACTAAGCTCAAAATAAAAACCTCAGCAGTAGCAGCAGCAGCAGCAGCAATAACAAAACTTCCATTAATCTCAGTAGAAGATGAATCTCTCCCTTCTGAACATTCCAGAATCAATCCTGGCTTTAGCTCTAGCTAACTTGGATATTCCGTCCCTGCAGCAGGCCCTGCAGCTCTGTAGATGGGATGCTGCTGGTTACACAGCTTAGGTCACAGACCCAGCCATCCAAGAGAGTACGGCTTATTGTGCTCACCAACTTGGGTCACATGTCCATCTCTGAACCAATCAGTGAAGCTTGACAGATGAGCCGCTGATGATTGGACAGGCTTAGGTCACATACCCACTTCTGGCCCTTGAGTGTAGCCAGCCAGCTGCAACTCAACCCAAGGCACCATGGATTAAGCTCTGCTCTGAAGGCCCTGGCTGCTTCTGTGCCACTCTCATGGATCAGCTGCATGCAGTTCCATGAAGTTCTGAAGAATGCTTCATACAATAAAGACATTAACTTTGTTCTATGTATTGAAGGTACGTGGGGTTTTTTTTCAGTTAATTGAGATTATTTTTTATACATGTTGTTTTTGAACCAAAACATTGTATACACGTTGTCTTAAGTCTTTACGTAGACAAATCAACTTTTTCAATAAATAGCTTCTAACTTGTTTTAGCCTTTAAAAAGATCCCCTCTCAAAGATTTCGTATTTGCCAATTTTCCCCTAATGTTTTTGTATTGCTGGTTTCGTCAATATTTATCCATCTGTAAATTTTGTCAGTAAAAAATATGAAGCCTGTTTCCCCATGTCGTTGCTTTTTCCAACAGAATTTATGAACAATTCATCCTTTCCCTCATGGACTGGAAACCCCTTTATTGGCATGGGTTGAGGTATTTTATATCTGTGCTTCAGTTCTCCGTTGTACTTGTCTCTATTGATCTTTCCTGTAAGTTTTAACCTAAAAAAGGAACACATTTATAGTTACTGATTGTCTATTTTATGATCACAACATAGGTTAGCATTACTTATAAAGAGATGGGCATGGCGGTGAATGCCTGTAATCTCATCTCTTGGGGAGGCTGAGGCAGAAGGATTAGAGGATCCCAAGTGTGAGGGATGCACTTAGCAAGACCTGGTCTCAAAACAAAAAATAAAAAAGGGCTGGGGATGAAGCTCAGTGCAAAGATCCTGGGTTTGGTCACCAGAACTGTGAAAAAAATTATTTTGTTTTTAGAAAAAAAGATTCCTTAAAAGGAATTATAAAAGTGGTAGAACAGATGTGGTTGCACATTTGTTACCATCTTGCACCAGTTGCACTAGGAGGAAGCAGGTCATCTTCTTTCACTATTTCTTTTCCTTCTCCCCCACGCCTCCTGTAGGTGAACACCTGACTGCTGCAGATGTCTTCTGGATTTTTAAAAACAAGAGAAAAAAAAATGCACAAGTAAGTGGAGGTTTCTACTTACTGGATCAAGTAAAACAAGTGCTTGAAAAGAATCCAATCAAAACCTATCTTTTGGATCATACAATTTCACACCCCCTATAAAAATAAACCCAAGTCATCCCAAGGGCTGAGTTAATACACACTAAAGGAAGCTTTGCAGGGCTTCAGTTTAGACTAGGAACTTCCACGCAGTTAGCTGTCTCTTTATTTCACGTTGCTGGTATGCGGTTGGACAGAAGTGCTTCAGAGCACAGACTGCGTTGGAGCCTGCACTGGCCCTGATGGGGCGATGAGCCAGACCTGTCTGCACCCAGAGAAGCAGAAAGGGCGGCGAGTCTGAGGCTGAGCTCCCGTGATGCAGGGGGGAGGTGCAGGAAGGCTACACTGGCTTCTTGCAAACTAAGGTTTTGAGGAAGTTGTACTGTGGAGAAGCGGTGCAACTCAAGGGAAATGATGCGAGACAGAAGTGGAGGTGCCAGGCAGCCCCTGGGATGTCCTGTCTCTGATGGCTTTGCACCCGCTGCCTCTAAGGGCATTTCCTGAGCACTGTGCCAGGGGTTGGAGCTCAGTGGGGCAAGGAGGCGGGAGAAAGGAGCCGTGTCCCAGCTGAGCTGTGCATTTCCATCCCCAGCTCATGCCACTGTCCTGGAGGTGAGGGGCTATGGAGAAAGTGCTTTGTGAGCCAAGGCCCCACATCTCAGAAGCCAGGCCTGATGTGAATTAGTTCATGGGATTATTTTAGCTGCAAAGACTAAAACATCTTAGGGGCCAGCAAAGTGGGAAGGCACCTTACATCTAATTTTGACTCCATGGTCAGGGGCCCCAGTGCTGGGGCTGCAACTTCAATGTATACAGGAACCAGCACGAAAATCAAGGAGTGAAATGGGCCAGGCATGAGCAAAAATTAGGTGATGCTCTCTTGCTTTTATTTTTTCCTGTTTTGTGGATGAGATCATGGTAGATGCTTTGGGTCTACAAATACCAAAAATGCTGCACAGTGTGTAAAACAAGCTAAGCTTCACTCTCTCTTAGGCTCTTAACTCGCTGATTCTCCACTGTGGTGTCCACCTCTGTAATTTGACCCTACCCAGGTCATCCCATAGCTGTGCAGCATCCACCGGGAGCTGCTGGAGCCAAGCCTGCTCAGCCAAGTGCACTTTGGGAGAGTGTATCCCTTTCTGCCACAGTCCTTTCCTTGTCTGACCACAGAGTGTATGTCCACGTCCCCTGTGCACCTCAGCTCTTGGGACATCCCTCATCCTGCATGAGCCGAGTCCTGAAGTCGTAACCACAGAGGGCTGTGCTACCGGGAGGAGTCAATGTGGCTTTAGTTTTTCCTGAGCAACAGGAATATCTGGAGAGGGTCAGGCCAAGGCTGAAGGGCATAAACATCTGAGTGGAATCTGAGTTCTGTGTGCAGAAGGAAGAGGGTATACACGTCACACCCTAGCCACACTGGCCCAGTCTGGTATAATCTGAATGGTCCTGTCCAATGCAACAACCACCAGTCATGCGTGGCCACAGAACTAGTGTCTGAACTAGTGTCACCAACAGGCAGGGTTTTCATTTTATTCATTCTCAAGTAATAGCCACACATGGCCAGTGGCGATTCACTGGACAGCACAAATGTGGAGAATAACTTTGCTATGATGATAAAATGGTCAAAAGTAGGGAAGTTTAGGGTGTGCTAGGAAGTGTCTTCCATGTGAAGGTGGTGGCTGCTACCTGCTGTCAGCAGACTGGGGACAGGGGATGACAGGAAGATGGGTTTCCATTACTGCTTTGACACAACACACTCCCAGAGCTTGGAGTTTAAAATTCACCTCACCCTGCCCCAGTCCTGCCCTTGGGTGCGGAGGCTCAGATGGCAGCTTTCCCGCTGGTTATTCACATGGCTGAATCCAGATGGCAGGTTGGCAGAGCCTCCTCACCTGTCTGTGGACTCTCCCAACACCTGAGCGCTCTAGCCAGGCAGTGGGACTTCTAACAGTGGCTCCAGCCTCCAAGACACAGGGCGGGGCTGCCGGACCGGACTTGAAGCCCAGACCTGGCCCAGGATGCTGCTACAACTCTTGTTCAGAGCAAGTCACAAGCCAACCTGTGGCACTTGACCTAGGAGGATTGGGCCCGGCTGCCAGGAGATGGTGCAAGGGAAGCTGGGGTGGGAGGTGGGGTAGGAACTGGCAGAACAGGCAACTGCGGCTCCCATGTGGCCAGAGTCATGTTCTGGCGCCAGGGGCAGCAGGAAGTCCAAGTTTACACGTGCAAATTCTCTGTTTTAAATGATTAATTCATGTTCTTTTGGTGACACCTTGAGACATGATCTATATGCCATACAATTCCTCCACTTAAAATGTGTAACTCAATGGTTTTGGGGTATTCACAACCATCGCCACAATCAATTTGAGAATATTTTCATCACACTGTTTAGTAGTCACTCCCCAGTCTAATGAAGCCACTTATCTGCATCCTGTCCTTCATCAGACCACTCCAGATGTTTCATACCCATGCCATCCTGCAACATGTGCTCTTGGCACAGTTGAGCCCAAGGCCTTACACATGCCAGCTACCACTGAGTTACATCCCTAGCCCTGGCTCCTTTTTCGGTTTTTTTCTTAAACACTATGATCACATCAATTCTACATGATGGATTTGTTTTGCAACCACAAAGTATCAAAATAAGGACCTTTGAATACTCCTCAAAATTCCTCAGTATAACCTGGGTGTGGTGGGGCACACCTGTGATCCCAGCCCTTTGGAGGGCAAGGCAGGAGGTTCATCACAAGTTCGTGGCCAGCCTGGGATACACAGTGAGTCTGAGGCCAGCCTGCACTACATAGTGAGACCCAGTTTCAAAAAATAAAAATAGCTCCTCAGTACACACACTCAACTCTCAGACTGCTCTTTTCTCATCTTAAAACTTAGCCTTGTCTTCCTCTAGGGAGACCAATGACATCAAGTGATGACAGGATTCAAGCTCAGTGCCCACTTTCCCAAGTTTAGTAATGTCAGTCTCATTCTAGACTTTGCCTGAGTTTCAGCCTTTCTAGTCAGAACAAACACAGAGTCCGTCTCCTTTCCCAGTGGGCACATGGAGAGAGCACCAGGACTGAGACTCAGTCACGCGCCCTTTCCTTGTATGACCCTACTACCTTCCAGACCTGCGACTCGGGACAGGAATCTTTCCAGTGTGCTTATCAGTCAGTGAGCTGGGATGCTAACGCAAATGTAAGGTTTCTTCCCATCATCTACAATTCAGAAATGGTCATTCAGTTGATTTCACACACAGTTATCACGGGACTCTAGGAGTACTGCCATGAACAGAACAACATTAAGATCTCAGCCCTCTCAGCTTTAAAGACAAGAGATGGAGGGAGGGGACAGGGTGTAAAAATAATTAAGATGTGTTATGTACATGCTCCTCACAAGGGATGTAATCATTATCTACTGCAAACATGTACTAATAAATTCTTTAAAAAGACAGACATGAAGTAGTTTCACAAAATACTTAGAAATTAAAATGGATGCTGTGAGAAAAGTGGGCAAGAATCTGAGGAAGAACATAAAAATGTGTAAGGAATGACAAAAAAAGGGGGAGCTGAAGTGGTGCAGGAGGGTTAGAAAAGTGACATTTGAGCTGACACAGGAGAAACACGTAGCACTACTAGCTGGAGAAGGTCCAGTTCCTGCATTTAGGTATTCTCATTAGGTATTTAATAAACGTGCGCTGCCTGTTGTGTGCCAGCATGGTGCTACACATCAGTCTACACATCAGGCACTAAAAAAATAAAAGATTGTGCATGCCACTTTAACCTTATTGGCTGGATTACTCATCCCAGTCACCTGACTGCTGAGCCCCCTGCCCAGGGTGTGGGTCCAGCCCAGTCTCACTTGGTTGGAGCTAAGGATAGGGCAGTGGTCTTACACCATTTGAATCCCTGGAGCTGTGGATCTCAATTACTAAAGCCTTGCTGGGGCTGCTGTTGGAAGACACTGCCACTCCAGGAGATGTCAAGCACTGTCCTAAATGCAGGGGCACGGTGAGGAAGAAGACACCTAAGAACTCTGTCACTGCGAATCCGGGACCTGTAGAGAACATGTACAAATCAGAGGCAAAAGAATAAACCGATACTACAGGAGGCAGTATGGAGGAAGGGTTGCTGGGATAGGGTGAAATCACCTTTGCCTGGTGGGTCACAAAGGCTTGTGGGAGGACAGCTGGGCCTCCAGATGCCAGCCCACTGACCACGGGAGGTCTGGCATCTCTGCCAAGGCCGAGACAGGGTGCAGCCTGGTCACTTGTTCTCAACAGGACGTGAGGCCTCCAAGGGTCCTTTAGCGGACTTCTGGGGACACTCTTGGTTGTCACAACCAGGGCTGGTGAGGCTGAGGCAGGTATCTAGGGGGACAGCAGAGACCAGGGAACTGCTGAACATCCTACAGGGTACAGGCCAGACCGGCAGGACAGGGCCACCGGGGTGACCAATAACGCGGTTCAGAAACCTTGTCCCAGGCCCCAAGGAGGGAAGGCCAAGCCAGCCTCAGGAGCCCGCCCCGGTCGCAGCCAGTTAGAAGTGAGCCTCGGGGCGCTGGGCTCCTTTCTCTTTCTGAAAACTCAGCGGGTGACACACGGCGTTAACCAACCCAGGAACCTTGTCAGACGCCCCGTCCTGTTTCCGGGGCGGGGCCGGAAGTCCTCATCAGCTGAGTGGCGGCGGGCCCGCCCAGTGGGTGGTGCGGCCCGGCAGTCTCGCGAGAACGCGGCGCGGGGTCCA